GTACGGTAGCAACAGATACGCAAGAAAAATTACATATGGACAATCTAAAAAAACGCTTAGAAACACGTACAGTTTTGATTAAATTCCGTTAACACTAGGTTTTACATTTCAGGCTAGTCGGCTTCAATTGTGGCCTTATGATGAAATAACTTTAAGAAAATTGGACAACATCCCCGGAATTATGCCAGTAAAATTGGGAAATGCAAAATCAATCGAATATACTTACACTTTAATCCATTATTTTGATTTAAATCCAATAAAATTGGAAACTAATAAATTATATTTTAGTAGTCCCAGATGTACAGAGCGTTAAACTTAAATGCAACGCTCAGGATTATATTCAAAATCTTCATGGGACATAACAAGCCCAAATTCCAAAAGGATGCCTAGTCAAAATTGGTCATCAAACAATAATTACAGATTAGTTATTACTACTCAGCGAATATTATTTCCTGATCTGCCAGATATTCCAACACAACAAAGTCAGATCGATTTAACTGTCAAATTAAATGAAGTTACGTTAGATGAACTAAACCTTTTAAGAGATGAAATTCAGTTAAATTAACCACTTCTGAAGTTCTCGGAGTTTTACAAATATCCGAGCATATATACCATCCTTGTATACATGGTCATAATCAGTTTGTGTCTATTTATTTGCTATAGAAGATTGTTACAGCCAAGATGTTCCAAATCCAGCAAGAAACAGCAGCAAGAAGTCGAAGAACGTAAAGATCCAAAATGTGTGTGATCCTCTTGACGGTATAGTTGAAGCTTACGTTGGAGGAGTTATCTCACTAGCGAAGATCCAAGAATGCTGACGCAGCAGAGTCCTATGTCTACATATAAAAACGTAGTTTAACGGTGTTGGCGAGGAGTTCTGTCTAGATATGTTATTGTAACAGACAATTTTAAACGGTTGTAAATTTAAATAAAGTTTTTATAAAAGGCAACGGTCGTCCCGATTAGTTAATTCATGTCATGTTTATCATTAAAAAGAGTTAAAGTTATTGAAAACGTTATTATTCAGATAAGCTCCATTAATTAATTTTCAATATTTGATGGTTTTTGTTTGATTTCATTATGTCTAGACACACGTATTTTTTCTAACCTGCCATAGTGGAGGAAAGTTCCGTCTTTCCTCCGCTTACGCTGGGGGAGCTGGAGATATCCAGCCGTCCATGCAGCCGTGCAGTATGTCGTTGGACGACATACTGCGAGACCTGGAGTTTGGACGAACTCCTCAAAGAACTCCATCGGATAGGCCGATGGAGTTTTTTGACCTGGTCACTCCATCGGCCAGTAATGCGCCGTCGCCGTCCTTCAGGGTAACACCGCTGCTGAGCATCCTACGACACCAACCGGCCCATCGATGCGTCTTCCTACAGGCAAAAACTTTCAAAAGTTACTTGCCACGAAGAAAGAACTGAGCCAGGATAGCGACTGGTGCGACTACGGATGCTGCAGACAGCGAGGAGAATTCGACCTGAGCGGTGGAACGCATAGCACTGCAGGGATGCTAAAAGCTTTCAAGGACAATTGTGCCAAGCTTCTCTATGAGGGAAAAAAAGCAAAAACTTAAAGTGTGAAGTGGATGCAATAGATGACGAAATAGTGCAATTGACGAAAAGACGTGAGTGTGTAGTTAGGTTAAGTAGAAAGACTGAAAAAGAGTGTAGGTTAACCAAGAGTGCATTAAATAGGTTAAGCACTAAATTGTGTAAATAAAAAAACAAACACAGAAATTCACTTGTTTTATTCCGGGACTTAAAAATCAAAATTATGCAAAGGCTGATGCGCATTTTAATTTTGGAGAGTTATGTGTCTCAAAGTCTGAAATTTGCGTTATAATTCTAATAATAATATTGAGCAGTTAAAGTTTCTCATTTCTCATTAAATTGCACATGTTTGTTACATGGTCTAAAAGATAAAAGAAAATGAAACGACCTAAACTATATTATCAGAAAATATGTATTTTTAATTACTGCGAGATTAACAGTCCGTCAATCTATCAAATTCTATTCACAGTAATTAAAGTAATTTTACCTTTCTTTGCACTTCTAACATCTTTATTTCCTCTTTTACATTATCTATTGATCTAAAGGAACTAACTAACCTTTCCTTATACATTGAAGCTAATTTTCTCTTATCAAATATACACTTCCTGTTCTTATTCATCTAAAAATTGAATGTTAGTTGCTCGTCCTACTGGTCCTAAACTAATAAGATACAATGTGTTTCTGGTTTTTGCAAGAAAGCTATTTTATGTTTCCTTTTTACTCAGTTTCTACTACTTATAGAAATAATAATGACTTCAGTTCATTAACGGTGTTTTACACTCACCTCAAAGTAACAACCAGTCTTTCTTCTGGTTGTATTGGTTGATGTAGAAAATTTGTCCATTTTTTCGTTAAATGGCAAGCCACTTTTTCTGGTATATAATTAAAGCTGGTTAAGCTCTATGTACATACTCAAAAAATTGGTCGGGATAATTTTTTAATTTCAGAAACAGGTTGTGATATTGTCCCGCCATAATTCTTCTTCTATTAATTCGATGCACATTATATTGCCTACTGCTTGTCAATAGTCTGCGAAGTGCTTCGTCATCACTCTCTGAAAACATGTGAAACAACTGAAAGCCCCCTCGGTTACTTCTTTAATTAATCGCTTTTACTATATTTGAACATCTCGCGCGGCACCACTAGACTCGCCGCGTGCCTCTACACTCGCCACTTCACTATATTTGTACCTCCGAAATAAAGCGCAACACCAACAAATGAATGCTTTTTTAAAGGTTAATTTTTTTAACATGAACATAAAAGAATTACGCGTAAAAAGATAAGTATATATTAATTAATAAATACATTAATTAATGCAATTACTGCAAAATTTATTAACCTATGCTTTAAAGGAGTCGCACTGTATTAGCTCTCAGAAAGAAATGGCTCGTATGTGATCCATCGGTCAGTGGTTTTCCCGCTGCACTTTGTACTATGCCAAATTTCAATGACCCAAAGCAATCGGAAGATAAATACAGAAAAGATTTAATAAAATTATGAAATGAATGATTTTTTAAAGGTTTAATTTTTAACATGAATATATTTAATATAAGAATATAAATAAATAAATACGTTAATAAATTCAATTACTATAAAAATTCTAAAGAACAATACCCTAAAGGAGTCAGATTGTACAAAAACGGTTTTGAAGTCTCTGAAATGGTAAAATCGGGTTACATTAATTATTTTTACTTTTAATTAACTTAGCAACTTGTCTCATTTTCAGAAGCGTTGGTTGTACAAATAAAGATACATTTTTTGTAGAATTTGCAATTTTGTACAGAATTCGCAGATTCTATTTCATTATACGTACTGGTGACTTGTTAAACTTGTTGTTTTTCAGATATTACTAATAGCTATTTATGCACACTTGGTTACACTTTCATCTCCATAACAGCGATCTTAAGATCACACATGTTGCTGATCAATGATTTTTTTCAATTGGCAAACATCTTTAACTTGTTAATTACAATTAGCAACTTTTATCTCCCTAACAGTATCCCACCATTAAAAAATCTGGCCATTTTTAAAAATTTGTGACCTTATGTTCACACACGTCGCTAATCAATAATTTTTTTGAGGATATTTCTAGTTGCAATTAAGCAACTTTTATCTCGATAAATTTCGATTTGTATAAATTCCGAAAACCTTTAATAAAACAATCATTCAGAGCAAAATGAACGCGGCATCGAGTCCTCCGACAAAAGCAGGCTAGCAGATAAAATGCTGGTGGATTTTCTGAAAAACGTATTTAGGTAAGTGTTTATTTTTGTTTCTCATTCAACAATGTATTCGTGTAAAACTTTCCCTTTCTTTTTCCTTTCCTTTCAGTTACGGAAGGAAAGATGTAAATCTTCAAAGCGATCGTGGGGTACATCTTCATCTTTCGCACTCGCTGAAAAATTAAACGGTATATCGAAAAGTTAAGGCACTCTCGGTCCGGTACCTTAGGGTAATGGGTAATGTGAAGATGAGATGCAACTCTTTCTCCAGGGCATTCCCAAGTTTGCGGAAATAAATTTCTACCCTGCCCTTAATGAAGGCCGCAACGGATCGAATCAAATAGGGCATCTTCGTTATCGTCGTTGTCGTCGGCGGTTGAAGCGTCCTCCCCTAAAAAATTAAAATATTGGAGGAGCCGCCTTTTATGAAAATATACGACAACGATGCCTGTCAATTTGATTACCAAAAATATAATCATATTTATGTAACCATATTTGGTTTTATTTTTTAATCTGCGGTGCGAGAACAATTTATACGTAAGCACTGAATTTTTGTCAACTTGGATGGGCACTTCCATAACAAAAGGAAACAAGTGCCCTTCACTAGATACAGTAGAATTAATATTTTTTGGAGGTCTATCCCAAATTTGTTCTTATCGCTGCGGTAGCTGCTATTATTGAAATCAATCGTTAACCATTCATCGTGGTCGCCGAAACTGCGATCATAAAAAAACAAACGGACTTGGTAATCTAGGTACTGAACGGTGACGTTTGGTAACCTTGCCCCAAAAGTTTGTACCTTATTTTTGCCGTTAACTGTCATGGGATACAGCTGACTCCATCCTTTCAGCGCAACGCCACTAATATTGTCCTTATTGAAATTATTTACATAGAACATACATGAACTACTGTCCGGTCGATTATAGTGAATGACACAAGGAACTCCGCCTGCGGTGGTGACTGGGTGGATGGAGTAGCCCAGTAAACACCGTTGCCGGTCCCAAGCCCGGACAAAGGAGGAGGGTTAAGCGTAGGGCTAACAACCCTGCCTTGTAAAAAACCTACTGTTGCGAAGCAGAACGACAAGCCTCGGAGCGGGACGGATCAGAATAGACGACGAAAGCAACGAAACAGGAATACGAATTTTGGAACATGGAACGTACTGAGCTGGTTTAGAGCAGGCGCAGCCAAAAGAGCGATACAACAAATGGAGATCTATAAGATGGATGTAGTTGCCCTTCAGGAAATAAGGTGGCCGGAGGAAAGTACTCAGACCATGGGAAAGTACACCATTTTTAATGGCGGAACAAGAGATAACAAACACGAATTTGGAACAGGCTTTGCAGTGAGCGGAGAGATTCTGGGACAGGTAATGAACTTTCGTGCCGTAAATAACAGGATATCTACCCTTAGAATTAGAGATAGATGGTACAACTATACACTTATCTCGACGCATGCACCAACCGAAGATAAGGATGAAGAAGTCAAAGACGAGTACTACGAACAACTGGAGCAAACCATAAGTGCGGTACCTAAACAGGACATGTTAATCATTCTGGGAGACCTTAATGCCAAGGTTGGAAGAGAAGAAGCGTTTAGACCACATATTGGAAGACATAGTCTCCATGAGCTATCAAACGACAACGGCCAACGACTGATCAACTTAGCAGCGGCTAATAACCTGAGGATTGCCTCGACAATGTTCCCACACAAGAACATCCACAAAGAGACATGGATATCCAATGATCGGAAAACGCGAAACCAAATAGATCATGTAATAGCAAACGCGAGACACGTTAGGAGCATCATAGATGTGAAGAGCCAAAGAGGGGCGGATGCAGGAACAGATCACTTTCTGGTGCGGGTAAAGGTTCGATCAAGGATTAAAAAAACCATAACAAGTCAAGAAACATCAGCACTAAAAAGGTGGAACACAGATAAACTAAACCAGGATGAAACATGCAGACACGAATACCAAAAAGAGCTGGAAACACAACTACAGAAAAATGTCACCCAAGAGGCGTCGGATGTAGAGGAGCACTGGAAACAGATCAGAACATCAGTAATCAACGCTGCACAAAGAGCCTTAGGCGAGAACACAAAGAATAGAAGAAGAAAAGACTGGTATGATAAAGAAAGCCAGAAGGCCTTAGATACCAAAAACAAGGCCAGAATTCAAATGTTGCAGTGCCCAAGTGACGAAAACGTCCAAAGATTCAACGACCTCAGAGCGGAGGCAAAAAGAAAGATAAGAAGGAAAAAAAGAGAAGCTTACAACAAAACAATAGAGAATGTAGAAAAGGAAGCTGGGCTAACAAACAGCCGGAACTTTTTCAATCAAGTGAAAAGTATAAGGAAAGGTGACACACCAAAGACCAACATTTTAACGAGCTCATAACGGATATAAAAGAAGTAATGCAAGCATGGAAACAATTCTTTGAAAACCTGTTAAACATAGATACAGTAACTGGGAACACGAAGAAGGTATACCAAAGTGCGGAGGAGCATGTGCCAGAACCCACGCTAGAGGAGATTAAAAGGGCAATAAACCAATTAAAGAATAACAAGGCCCCGGGTGAGGACTCCATTACGGCGGAATGCATAAAATATGGAGGGGAACATCTAGATACTGCCATACTAGAGCTGTTGAAAAATATATGGAAAACAGAAGCCCTACCAAAGGAGTGGAATGAGGGTACCATAGTCCCCATTCATAAGAAAGGAGACCGGATGGCCTGTAAAAACTATAGAGGAATAACCCTGCTAAATATAACATACAAGGTTCTGTCAAATGTACTAAGAGGACGCATATCCCCATACGCAGAAGACAACTTAGGAGACTACCAATGCGGTTTTCGACCCAAGAGATCAACAACAGATCAAATATTCACCATAAGACAGCTCCTAGAGAAAAGCTGGGAGTTTAACAGAGAGGTTCACCAACTGTTCGTAGATTTCCGCCAAGCATATGATAGCATCACCAGGGAAAGTGTCTGGCAAGCGTTGGAAGGCATAGGGGTACCAAAAAAGATCATAAGGCTAACCAAGATATGCATAGAAAACTCTAAAGCCAAAGTTAGGGTAGGAAAGAACAACACCGAGGCATTCTCCATTAACAATGGCCTAAAACAGGGCGATGGACTTTCACCATTGCTTTTCAACATAGTGCTGGACATGGCCATCAAAGAAGCGAATATTGGCTTGGAAATATTTACAAATAAGGGCCCAGAAATGATTTTGGCATATGCCGATGACATTGATACGGTAGGAAGCAGTACGATTAAAACAAAAGAAATGTTCATGAACATAGAGAAGGAGACCAAGAAGGTAGGACTCATGATCAACGAGGACAAGACCAAATATATGTGGGCCGGACGGAGAGCAGGAAGGGGCAGAATAGGACAGAACATAACCATGGACACCCACAATTTTGAATGCGTAAACCAATTTCAGTACCTAGGAGCAGTTATAACTTCGGATAACGATATCACCAGCGAAATAAAAGCAAGAATACAAAAGGGCAATAAATGTTTTTTCGCCTTGCAGAACCTGTTTAAGTCCCGACTGATATCTAGGAACTCAAAACTACGGATATATTCGGCAGTAATCAAGCCAATCGTAATGTATGGCTCGGAAACATGGACAATGACAAAGCAGAACGAACTAGTGTTAAGACGCTTTGAACGAAGGATGTTACGGAAAATCTTTGGACCAACAATAGATGAGAGAACGGGTCAATATCGAATAAGAACGAATGCGGAGCTTAACGACATGTACAAAAGACCGAGTTTAGTAAACGAAATAAAAGCACAAAGGCTCAGGTGGGCTGGACACGTGCAGAGATCGCCGAATGAACGTCTTGTAAAGAGGATATGGGAAGAAAACCCAGCAGGAAAGAGACCCTTAGGAAGACCAAGGCTCAGATGGAGGGACAATATCGAAGAGGATGTAAAAATCTTGGGAGTACGGAACTGGAAGGAGGTTGTGTTGGACAGGGACAGATGGAGACGAGTCGTAGATGCAGCTAAGACCCACGAAGGGTTGTGACGCTACAGAAGAAGAGAAGAAGACACAAGGCAGGCAAACAAATGAGTCGGGAGGTTGCAATTGTTTTTCTGCTTATCGGATAACTGATGCGACATAGCCAGCAAATCGTAAGACTTCACGTGTTTGCTAAGGTATTCCGCTGGAACTTCATCATCGTTGCTTATCGAGCGATTTATCACTGAACAGTTAAGAATTAATAATGAATTACCTAACTAACTAATAATAAAACAGTTTTGTAAGGCACACATGCGTAATCTACCATTCATATGAAAGATGCACTGGGGTCGATCAAATTTAAATTTGAGCGGTATCAGTCAACTGTCGTCTAATTTTTCAATATTAAGAATCAAAGTTCGGAGTAGCTGTAATTGTTGGATCTTCAATATAAAAAAAAAACTGTTTTCGGTTGCCCTCTTAGGTATATAATGTGCGCATGATGACAACTGTCAAAAATGTACTGCTTCGCCCGATATTTATGACATTTTTTTAAACGTATTATTTGCGAATCTGGTTTCTAGAAACCGTTACATTTGTTTTACTACTTTAGTGAGCGGTTTGTAACTAAATACTTTATCATGTAAAATGAGACAGTAAATCTATGTATCCTTTTTGATATTAGCGTGAGCTTCTAATTTAATTCGCATTACCACGAAACCAGTTTGTAAAGACCTCCCTTGATGAGAACAATGTATGTAATGGGACAATTTTCTTTGAAATGCTCGAAAATAGACTAGTGCAATGTTCAGTAATAAGGGTGTCTAACATTTTCATTCTTTACACAAATAATTTGTACCATTTAAACACGTCAGGGGCAATCTTTGGTTTTGAGGACGATCATGTTTTCTTATGCGTTCAATGAAGAAAAACGAGTTTACGGAATTTTAAAACCTTACAACTTGGGCCTAGATAATATTAGCTTCAACACAAAAATTCAGTGATCCAATCACTCGTGCAAATCTTCAGCAACAATTAATATTTTTATCCAAGAAAAACGAATCTATTCAAGATTACCGTTAAGTGGCCAAAACTGTTGTCGTATGTGAGCTAGAGTGCCTTGTACACCAGAGTGTAATGTACGCTTATGTTCACGATCGATTAAAAGACGTGTAAAGTCATGTTTTGGAGGGAGGATTATAGGATGTTTTACATCGTAGTTAAATTTTGAGTTGCTTAATCTACCACCGAGTCTTATTAGACCATTCTGGTCGATAAATGGCGATAAACATTTTAATTTACTTTTCGATGAAACTCGTTTTTTTGCCTTTAAGTCATGAATTTCTTGGGAAAAACCTTTCATTTGAACTAATTTTAATAGGGCAATTTCACTCTGTTTAATTTCATCGGAACTCAATTGACTAAATTGTCTTAAAATTCTAGATACCTTCAGGTTTTTTATAAATCTTAGACAATAGGCGGTGATGCGAATTAATTTGTTTAGGTTTGAGTATTTGTTAAATAATTCCAAGTCTTGACCGATTGATGTGGTTAAAATTATCTTAGAGTTAGCCTTTGATTCGGGTATATTCTCAATGGGAATAAACTTATTTGAATTCTTAGGTCAATCGTCGATTTTCGTAAAGAACTGTGGTCCATTTAACCATAATTTTGAATTTATTAAAAATTTAATATTAGCTCCGCGAGAAATTATATCGGCTGGATTATGTTCTGAAGGAATATGATTCCAATTTTCCTTTTTTGTCAACTGTTGTATCTCCGCAACGCGATTTGCCACGAAGGTTTTCCAACATTTCGGTTCCTTGGCTATCCAAGACAACACAATCATCGAGTCTGTCAACAAAAATAATCGGTCAAAATTAAGTTTCAAAGCTTCGACACATTTTTTTGTTAATTTGGCGAGTAATGCTGCACCAAGTAATTCTAAACGCGGTAATGATAAAGATTTTAGAGGACTGACGCGTGATTTGGCACATAATAAATGACTCTCGATTGTATCATCGATGTTTACTGAACGTACATAAATGCAACACGCATAGGCGCGCTCGCTTGCGTCCGAAAATCCGTGAAGTTCTATTAATTTCGGCTGTTTTACAATTACGTGGCGTGGTATACGCATTAAACCTACTTGTGATAGTTCCTCTTTTAAGTCTGACCATTCGGAGAAGAGCTGACTTGGTATGCTTTCATCCTAGTCAATCTTTAATTGCCAAAGTTTTTGTATTATTAATTTAGCTCGAATTGATAAAGGACCTAGTATACCGAGCGGATCAAAAATTTTTGCTATAAATGAAAGTATTGACCTTTTCGTAACCTTGTCATTGTGTGTTAATAAATCTTGAGAATTGTATTGGAATTTGTCAAGATGTGGTATCCAAGAAACCCCCAGAGTTTTAACGCATGAATCGTCCGTAATGCAATATTTACTCTGTCCGTGATTCAAATTATTTATTTCGTTGAGAAATTTATTATCATTTGACTGAAATTTTCTTAATTCAAATCCGTATTGAGATAAAATTTCCGAAATGTTTTTTCTTAATTGAATAAGCGAATCGATTGTTGAGGCTCCAGTGAGAATGTCGTCCACGTAAAAGTCTGAGCTTATTATTTCACTTTCATCGGGCCATTTTTCGGCAATATTCAAAGAAATTTCAAATAAACAACCCGTTGAAAGAAATGAAGCCGGCGCCGTGCCATACGTGACAGTATTTAGCTGAAAATGTTTTATTGCTTGCTCGGGAGAATTGCGCCATACGATGCGTTGTAAATTTCTTTCATCTTTATCTATTAGGATTTGACGGTACATTTTAGTCAAGTCGCCTATAAAGACATAATTATGTTTTCTAAAACGAGTTAATATTGTAAACAAATCATTTTGAATAGTGGGTCCGGTTTTTAATACATTATTTAGCGATAAATTCGTTGAAGATTTGGATGCAGCGTCGAAGACTACTCTTACTTTAGTTGTTGTACTATCGGGTTTTTCCACACTGTGGTGAGGAATATAATAGATCGGTGTTTTTGAAGGATAATCGCGCGGTATTTCAGTCATGTGACCTAGATTATGATATTCCTGCATAAATTCTCGATATGATTTTTCGAGTTCGGAATTTTTGGCTAATCGTCGTTCAATACTATACAACCGGTTAATGGCGGTTTGTTGAGATTCACCCAACTTGATGAAAATGGGTTTTAGGGGTAGTTTTACGATAAATCTGCCTGATTGATCGCGTGTAGTATTTTGCTTAAAATGATTTTCGCATTCGATTTCTTCTGATGACATTTTAGCGCGAGTACTTGAATTAATTTCTTCAATAGACCAAAATCTCTCTAAATTTTCGTGAAGTGATTCTCGTATGAAATAACAGTTGGATAACATGACATCTGATTTTCCGC